TACTTTCATGTATCATGCTTTTTCAATAAACATTATGATTTATTAACCGATGTGTCAAGTCGTTAGAATACATATATTTTCAAAATATTTAATATTTTAATTTAATGAGTTAGATTATTTATTCATTTAATTAAAAATCTACTCACTTTACAAGTTTACATAATAATTTATTCAAATTTAAAATAGGTCGTTAATTATTAAAAAAATTACTTAAAAGTACATTTTGTTTTGAAAAATACTTAGCTCCTTCATCGTAGGATCAATCTTATCCTTATCACCAATAAATATTTGACAACTAAGAGAGAAATGTAAAAACAAAGATTTTTTATAAAAAATTAATGAATTGTCAATTTTTAATAGTGGCGACTCACCATTAACATTTTCTAAGTTTTATCTTTTCTTTTACCGAATACAAATCAGATCATCCTCAATATTTGTTCCACTCTTCTTTACACCTTCCAAAAACCTCCTCCACTCCTCAAGAAGCATCTACGAAAAGGTTACTTTATGGAGAGGTAAAATTTTATATTCTAATTTTTTGTATGTTTGAAGATTTAGAGATAAATTGTGGAGAAAACTTTAAAATCTTTACTACTTTTATACATTTTGCCCTTTGTAGCTTTCTTCCAATCTTACCTCATTTGTTCTTATTCCCATCAAGTGTTGCTTGCAAATTAAACCATCCTCATGTTGTTATTGTCTACAAAGGACAAAAAATGAAAAAAAAAACTTATTAGAAGCCGTCATGCATATCCAACGAGTTAAAAGTATCAATCACATTGTGGTAGCCTCCTCTAATAATTTTTTCCGGAAGAGGAGTGAGCCGTTTATTATATAATAATAACTTTCTAAAACTTTACGTGAGAAATATTGTAGCTTATATTTTTTATTTTTTAATTTTATTAATCACAAAAGTAGATAATATATGAATTTTATCATATTACTTTTGTAAAAGTCCCCCTTCATAGAATTGACCATTCGGCATAAAAAACAATAACCAAAATAATGGTGGTAGAAATAAAGTAGAAAATGAAACGAAACCTAACAGTAACAGAACAGAACTAATGTTTTTGGGACACACTACAACCACACCAAGAATAAACATAGACCCGTCACCGAACCGACCACCTCATTTATTCTCGAACAAGTTCAATAGATTGCAAATATAGTAGTAAAAGAAAAAATAAATCCAACCTAAACCTACTTACGAAAAAAAAGCTTTAAAATGTCTATCAGCTGTCTCAACAGATCAATGATACAGTCTAATCTATCAGTGATATATGATCTATCACTCTTGATATAGTCTATCAGTATTAATGATAGACGTTCTGTATGATAGAGTAATAGACTATATCAAGAATGATAAACTATATCATTGATTTATATATATATTTATAACTAATACCGTTTATTGATAGATGATATCACTTGATATTAGTCTATCATTATAGATTAATAGATTTATATAGAGTAATAAATATCTATCATCGATAGACTGATAGATATCAATGAGTGATATGCAAGAGTAAAAAGGGAATTACGTAAAAATGTCTAAATAGATGTGCGTTATATTTATAATAAATGCTTTATTTGATGGTAACAAATGATCCTCCATTGAAAATTTTCTGCCGCCAATATTTGTAGCCAATAAATCAACGGTTAAAATTCAAAATTAATATGAATTTGGATAGTTTTTTTTAGTACAACAACGTAGCAATGACAATTAAACCCACGACCTTTTGGTTGAACCTATAATATGTCTTAACGAATTGACATATGCGTAAGTTGGCATGAATTTGTATAGTTTTATTAAATAAGATTTAAAGAGAAATAACTTAATGAAAATCCACCTGTGTAAGCTTTCAATTTTCCCTTATTAACTCACCTACTTGCATTTAATTTATTTGGTATGTTTTAGTTATCACGTTGCACATCATATAGTACGTACAATTACTTACTGTAATCAACATGCCACATAATTAAATACTAATCAAGTTTATTAATGATAGACTATATTACAAATAAACGTTTATCACTGATATAGTATGACATGATCTATTAATAATAGATTATATCCATTTATTAATGACATCGTTGAAAGTTTCTACGAATTATTTTTTATTTAGTTTTCTCACCATAAAAGCTACATTTTCTCGAGATTCATTAAGATTTGCATTGTTACGTTGAAATCTAACGAAATCTTATGAGAAAACGACCAGACAAAATATTACTTTTTATAAATAGGTCAAAGATGCCCACAAAAAAAAAAAAAAAAATCTGTTATTTCTAAGACTGTAGCTGCTGATTGTGCTGCTTTAAATCTTACTTTTATCTCTAAATTCTGATACTTTATCAATTTTCATTTCAAAACTTTTAAATATTTTGTTTGAGTACTTATAGTTTTGGTTTTTTAAAGAGAAAAAGAGAAAAAAAAAAAACTACTACGATCTTAATCATTATTGTTAAAAAAAAAAAAGAACTAGAATAGTTAAAGTAACGTATAAAATTAGAAGACTAACAACTCAGAGAAATTGCGAAAGTAAAATTAAAACATAAGTAATAACAATAGAAATGAACCCAAATGAGGAACAAACAATAACAAATAAAGATCCACAAATTGTTGTCAATTTGAGCATAATTTAACTTGATATATTATCGACTAAAATATTATAAATACGAAATCGTATCCCCTAAAATGAAGATGTTGTTGGAAAAAAAAAAAAACTGTAAACTGTTTGATAAAATTTGGAGAAGACTTGGCATGGGCCCCCTCTCCATAACTGACGAAAAGGCCTTTATGCCGCCCGGCTCATCCTCTCTACACACACACACATTCACGTTTCAGTACCGGCGCTTTCTCCTTTTTCACAATTATACTTTGTTTTTTTTTTTTTAGGGTTTTGTGAATTTATCAATTTAATTTTGTAATTTCGAAAGTAGTTTCGGGTTAGGATTGTGGATCTTGGAACCGCCTAAAGTTCAATAGATAGCTTGACTAGACTCAGGGTTTAACTTTTTCACTTGTCTAGTTTAGTTAAATTGACCGAACATAATTGCTAATCTTTTAATTGAACCCGTCAATCAAAAGAATAAGAAGGTTTAAGGATTAATAAACCATCACTCAACTCAAAAGCTTCAGTTGATATGTCTGGTAAATTTAATCATATCTAACACTCCCCTCACTTGTGGGTTTGGATAATTATACAAAACCCAACAAGTGGAAATCATAATAAATGGGGAGTAAATGACAATGCAGGGGTTCGAAGACAGTATCTACCGCTCTGATACCATAAGAAGGTTTAAGAAATTGAATAAATACTCATGATTTGTTGATTCATCTTAGGAGTATATATATATAGTACAGGGAATACAACTGTTTTACATGATCTTAGAATATACAGGTAAGGGTTATATGATTTGAGGGATACACTCTTGAAAAGTTGTTGAGATACATTTAACAAAGAAGAGTGGGGTGTGAAGGCTACAAATTTTAATTTTTCTCTCATACACTTAATCATGTAAAGTTTTCCAACCACATTGTTCTAGCATTTTTGAACAATTTTAGTGTAGTTACCTATCATTCATTTGATCACAATATATGGCACAGTTGGAGCTCATCATTCATCAAATTATATATTGGACTCATGAGATGGTGTAGGGTACATACATCGCTAGCATAGTGTTACATTTTGTGTCATATTAACACGTTTCGCACAATCTTCGATCAATTGTGATTATTGAACATCTCTCTTGGTAGATCTCACATGGTGTATATAGACATCAAATTCAATGTTTTGTACGTCTTCTCTCGTCAAAGTATTTTCTAGGTAGAGTACACCCTCCTACTTCAACGATTGTCATTGGTGCTAACGTGATTCAAGTCAACCTAGTAAGTGTTATCATTAAAGGGTGTGTTTGGCATATGTCTATTAATATTTGATAATTCTTCTCTTGTAGGTAATATCCACCTACGCTCATATTGGCTTTTTCATAATCATGGTTGATGAATGGTAATGTGCACATCAAGTATATTCTTTTGACTGCATCTATCTAGTTCAACAATATTATTGTCATTATTGATTGGTGTTGATGTGGAGTTGTTGCATAAAACCTCGATGAAGTGTCTTATAGAAAATCATCGTAATACTTCCATACTATGGTCCGTGTGTTTATCCAACTATGACTTGACAAGAGTCAAGATAACAACGTGATTTCTTTTCATAACTTGAAGCAAGCATTCTCTCGAACGTTTTTCTATTGAGACTTAGAAGTAGGACGAGAGAAGCATCAAGTCAACCTAGTTGAAGTGGTTAGTGTAGCAAATATCTCCCTTGCATGTATTCTATTATTCAAAATATCATAGTAATTTTATATATTTACTAAGTCAATATATAAAATTACTCGAATAATTTTTATAATAAATTTTGGATTTTATTCAACTAATTATTGAATAATATTTCAATAATTATTCAATTTCACTCAAGAAAATAATTATGACAAATTAATTGTGATGCTGAATATTTAATTTAAAAATAAATGAATAATTCATTTTCGTTATTTTAAATTAGAGATAAATTTTTTTTAGTACAATATAGGTTGGAGAAATGATTCAAACTCAGGACCTCTTAGTTGGAGGTAGTCAATAGCCACTGAACTATACTCGCTTTGGCAGCATTAAGGTACCAATTTAGTTATTATGAGTTAATATTTCGACAATTATCAAACCACGTTCGTGTACACTTATCATTCAATTAAAAAGATGATTAATTAAATGTCTTTGTTTTTTTCTCTGTTCATGTCACTTTCTATATTTTTAAATTTTTTCTTTTCATCCACATATATATATAATGAATAATATTAGATTAAAAATTGCAGTGACACTAACGTAGACGTTGAATTGACGTGACTAATAATTTTAGCCCCCAAAGCTTTTGCCTTTTGTATAGCTTGTATTTAAATTGTATTTAAATTGTGCAAAACATGTAATAAGGGACACATAATTAAATGAAAAATCTTAAATAGATGTTACATAATATGAAATACAAAGGGGGTTTTACAACAAAGGGAAAACCATCTTATATTTTAATAATTACTGAATGGCTCGTTTAATTTACATTAGCAATGTAGTAGCTTAACAAATGATACCTAGTAGATCAAGAATATTATTAACTTCTTTTTTTTTTAATAATTTCTTTTTAACCTCTCAAATGTCGAGGGTAGGATCGGGTGAGGCGGTGGTCGGGCGAGAGAATTACACGAGAGGGCGGTGGCGAACTCTGATTGGCAGACCTTTAGGGAAGTCAACAAAAGGGTGAGCAAAAGCTTGATCTGAATCCGCCAACTCCCATTGGTAGTTCAAGACCAGATGGTGGATGAAAATGGCCATTTCAAGCTTGGCTAGTTCTGAACCAGTGCACAGCCTTGGTCCTCCGCCAAATGGCATAAAATTATTGGTCGTCATCGTGCTCGAGTTACCCAATGGCAGTTCATTCATCTGTTGCATCCACAGCAAGCAAGATAAAAGATTATAACTTAATTATAGACTATATGAGACGATTATGAAGAAAGGCTAGGTATCTGGTATGGAATGTAGTTAGAGGGTCGTTTTCTCGAAAACTTTTCGTCCATTCATCAGTCGTCCAGACCAAATTTTAATGAAATCTTTGACAAAAACAACATTGGATCAGTGTAATAAATGCTCCAAAGAAGAAAACAAAAGGCAAGAAGGGGACCAATCTATATATATCCTTCCTCAGCTACATAACCCTCATGGAGTTAATAGCAAAAAGGCAACAAAACACCGCATTTTAAAGCACAAGCTGACTCGAATACTCAAATATGTATCAATACAGACAATACAAGTAAAATAATGATAGACATCTAAGTGTCGAGTATTATAGACTAGACATATCATTCTCGAGCATTGGTGAATGCAATCCCGAACACGGGGCGTTGACATCGGGTGAAGCTAGATATGTGTAGAAATGAAGAGAAGAAAGAGGGTATTTCAGAAAGGAAAGGCAAAGGCATGGAGGGAAGGAAATATATGGGGTTGGGGAGGGGACCAAGTTTTGGGCATAAATCCAGTAGAGAAAAAGGCACCGGTGCACGTGCAAGGGAGTGTCCCACCATCCACATGGGGGCTGGGGCACTAATCATCCCAACCCTATAGCCCTCATCATATCTACTTGGCCCCCACTACCTCACTAAATTTTAATATTCCATTTTCTTACCTAAATTACAATTTTATAATAATGTACAATCAAGACGTCAATCCTCCACCTCACTTGTTGTACCAAAAAAAATCAATTAATATGCAATAAAAAACAATTCTAACATAATCATTATTCAACCTTAATAAAATTCATGTAATGTATATTGGTTTACTATTGCTGATAGAAGAATGTAAATAAAAGAATTTGAGGGATCTTGAATAAATTGAATATGTATTTAGGTGCTGAGCAGCTCTACTGTGAAAAAAAAAAGTTTGACAATTAAAAAAGATGAATGCATAATTGTCAAAAAAAATTTAATAGTGAAATAGAAAACATAAAATAAAATAAATAGAAGATACCAAATTATCGATTAGCACTTAAATATTATTCTATTAAACATGGTTGCAGCAGAGTTTTAGAAATTGCTACGACATTCGAAAATTATTGGTTGTACCCACCTACTACTTTGTGGCTTACTCTCTTGTAATCATCTAAATGCAACGTCTCAAAATAAAAATAAAAATAGTGTCATGTATTTAACGGTTCTATCAAAAAATAACCTAAGAACCCTACCATGTCCTCCATTTTAGGGATCACTTGCTTTGTCACATCATGGTCTACACAAAAACATTTTATTTATCATTGTCCCAAATTAATTGTTGGAATAAGAGAGGTCTAAATCCAACTATATATAACCCTTTTTTTTTAAGTTTTTTATTGTTTATTTAGAGGAACCAATTAATCATAGCTCTGTTTCCCTCCATGCATTTGTGAGGCAATAAAATATCTAAAAAAAATACTGTGAAAATAACAATTCAAAAGGTAATTGTAAATCTGAATTAGTATTATTATTATATATTTTTCAAAAAATACGTATTTACAAACATTTATTATGGCGCGCAATGAAATTCTTTGAAATTATTTAAATATACACATGAACAAATTAAATCACATGGTAAGTTTACCTTAAAATTTTAACCTATAGTTTGTACTTAATTTCAACTTATATCTCTCCTGCTATTGACTTAGGTTAAATCTCTAAAAACCTTACTGGTTCATTCTACTATATTCAAAGGCCATATTAAAAAAATTTAACCAAATTATAAGATTCAAATCGGAACTTTTAAAGTCAAAACGAGCATACTTTGGCATATATCTTTAACCAATGAGTTCGATCCCCACTCTCACCATTGGCATATATCTTTAACCAATGAGTTCGATCCCCACTCTCACCATGTTGTATTTAAAAAAAAAAATCGATATTTTTAAAGCCAAAACTATAAAAAAATAAAAAATAAAAAATTGCAACTTTTAAAATTATAGAGATTATTTAACCTCAAAAGAAAGGGAAAAAAAGATTAAAAAAAAAATAGAAGGCAGAGCAGAGTACAGACCTGCCACCTCCATGGATTAAAGTGGTGAGGTTGGTCAAAAACTGAAGGATCCAAATGCGCTGCAGAAATTACTGGAAGCACTTTCCATCCACGTGGAATGAAGTATCCTTTTGATCCAAAGAAAAAATAATAATAAATAAATAAAAAGAGAGAGAGAAAATGAGATTTTCCCGGTCATTTTCCTGCTAGCCAAACAACTTTTTTAACTTTATCATTCTTCTTGCTCTTACCTCTGTAGCGCACATCCTTAAGTGCCTTTCTATGAAGAAATCTCACCACGTTCCCAAGCCGAAGCGTCTCGTTAATGACCTTCACGAAACAAAAATTTCCCACCAAAATTTAATTTCAAGAAACCCCACAGCAGGAAATACTAATAGAGCTTTAAAATTTTTTAGAATCATTACACATTGGGTGAATTCCATCTTCTTGTAATCTTCCCAATCCAATTCCGTCTTCCCCAATCGCTTATTGGCTCTGGCTATATCGAGGTGTTCTTCCTGGATTTAGAACTCCGAGAAATCAGAGAAAAGAAAAAAGAGAAATCCTCGTCGGAAATCTTTTCCGGCGACTCACCGATAACTGCTGGATGGCGGCAGGACAGCCGGGGAGGAAGAAGATGGCCAAAGCTATCGCCACCGACGACGTCTCGTGGCCGGCGAACAGCAAGCTCAGAATCAGGTCGAGGATTTGCTCCGTCGAGAGATTTGAGTGCTTCAATGCCCAGCCGAGCAGATCGTCGTCTTCGAAATCTCCGCCGTCGGCTTCGATTTTCAGCTTCCGTTCCTCCATTTTCCGCTCGATGAACTTCAAGATCGTCGTTCGAGACTACCGACGGGGAAAAAAAACGAAAATCAAATCTCTCTGTAAAAACTCCGAAAAAAAAACTCCTAAAACCGCCATGCAATTGCGAATCAGTAATCCGATTACCTTCAAAGCTCTTCTGTACGGCGTTCCAGGCAGATTCAGCGGCGGAGAAACCACTCCTTTCATGAAAGTCAGGTATTCCTTCTTCAACATCTCCGTCTCCAACTTCCCCGGATCCAAGCTCATGATGTGCTTCGCCATTAAATTGAAAGTGAACTGCAGCAAATTAATCGATTCCTCGGTTTCATCATCGATCAAAAAGGGGGAAAAAAAAGAATCCGAAACTGAATCCGTTATAAACGCACCTTTTTGGCTTCGTCCCGAGCGAAAAACATGGAAGATTCTTTCCAAGAACGGAGCACGAGCAGAGATTGATTCTCGACCTCCTTCAATAGATGGGTCTTGAGCCGGCTCTGGCTCAGGAAGTTGAGCGAAATCATCCTCATGTCTCGGTGCATGTCGCCGACGAGAACGAGCATCGACCACTTCCCGAGGATACCGCCGATGCTCGGCGGGTAACTGCACTCGAACAGCCGCCCTTCATTCTGGAGGATGTAGCGGTTAAGGCCGGCGTCGGCGGACACCACCGTCGGCTCTCCGAACAGATTCGATTTGTAGACTTTGCCGTATCTGCATGTGGAAGATTCTTGAAGTGAGTGAGAGCAGAGGTAGAAACAGAGGAGGTTTAAGGTTTAGTTTGGGGTTTTACCTCTTGATGTGATTCTCCATGAAATCGCCGATGGTGGTGGCGGAATAGGGGCGGAGATAGCCGACAGTTTCGCCGAGGAACGGCCAGCCCATGGTTCCGCGGGGAAGATCGACGCCATTTCTCTGCCTTCTGAGGAGTATTAGGAAGAGGAAGAGGAACAGAGCTAAAACAGAGGGGAGAAAACAGAGTATGAGCTCTGCACGAAACATTTTCCTCTCTTGGTCTTACTTTTTTCCTCTCTCTGATCTCTACAGAAAAATACAGTTGAGGAAATCGAGGAAGACGAAGGGAATTAGAGAAAAAATAAATAAAAAAAAAACCAGTATGATTTCGATTTTGCAAAGTGAAATTTGAGGAAATTTTGTGAAGCCGATGAGCTGCCTTTTATAAGCTTCGCGCATGCAGCTGAAACGTTGTAATGTAATGGATTATTTGCCCAAAAATATTGCCTACAAAAGGATGCACCGTTTAATTACTACTTAGTACAAACTTTAAATAATAATAATAATAAGAATAATAATACTTTACGTGTTAAATTTTTAAAAAATAAAAAATGTCTCTCTCTTCATTGGCCCTCTCTGCATTATTATCCATCAATACTTTAGAGGTGGATAATAAAAATATTGGCACTATTTTACCCTTTTTTGTAAGTTCAAACTTTAAAGATGATTTGGACGGACTTAAAAAAAATTAGACAATTTTTTTTTCTTTTACAATCATATTTTACCTGCATCTCAATTAATTTTCTCTTCTAATATTTGGCCAAAATCAGATAGTATTAAACCTTTCTAAAGTTTAAACATAAATTTAAATGTTAAAAGATTAAATTTGTAATCTGACAAAAATAATAATAATAAATATGCTTATTTTATTAAAAGCAATAAAAATATTTTCATTTAATAAACCAATGAAAAGAAAACATTTGCTGTAAATACTTTTTTCATGTTGACGTGACTCAACTTTGGATTTATTTATTTATTTACTCATATGCCAAAATAATTAGTTAAACTGGAATCCACAATATAAACGACAGACTTCTCTTTTTTCTTTTTCTTTTTTTTTTCTTTTTTCCCTTAAACTGTTAATTCTAAATAATCTAATAATGAAAAATAACTTATCATATTTTAAATATTAATAAATAACTTATCATGTTCTTATACCTTCTTACAAATTGAAAGTTCCTTTTTTTTTAATTATTTTGCTACATTATTTATTCGGTAAATTCATTGTGCCTTTTTTTTTTCCTTTTTTGAGCTCACCTTAATTATTTCATTATTATTACAAATTACTTTTGTGAGATGACACATATAATCATGACGAGACCAAAAATCATGCATGCAGGTTGGTTTGCAACCACGATCAATTAAATTCATAAACCGCGTTTTTTCCTTTTCCAGAAAATAAATCACTTTTTCCATGGATTTTAATTTTACATTTTCAATTTCATTAAATCAAACCCTAAATTTCAATTAATTGATAAGTCAATCTCCTCGTTAGCTTTCTAATTCGTCTTTTCTTCTTCTTTTTTTTTTCTTTTAAATTTCGTGATTATGTTTGTATGAGATTAAATTAAACATAGCATTTTAAGATTAATTGTGTGGTTTAGGTTATAGAATAAGTAGCTTTATCTCTATGCACAAAAAGTCATCAGCTTTATCTCTATACACAAAAAGTCATCGGGTAAAGATTTATTTATAATCAGAAAAAGTTAATCCTAATATTTTGAAGCGACAGGAATACTCTGATTTCTTGTAGTGCTAAAATATCTTCCTAGTTAGTTTGGGTTTGAACATATGTGACGATATATTTTAAAGAAATATAGTAGAAAAAATATAGCGTGAGAGTTTGAATTTTCAATTTATAAGGGAACTTTAACTATTTATCAATTATTTTGATTTGGATTGTTTTGTTGGTTGAACTTTGGTGTGGTTCAGAGTTAGTTGATAGGTTAGAGTTTAATTGAATCTAATTGAAAGGTTTAAAGTTAAAGTTGACTCGTGGAAAATTATGATACGTTTGAGCGTACTTTTTATCTAACAAACACTTTCTATTGAAAAAATCATCGGGTCTGAGATGAACAATGAAAAAAGAAAACACCTAAAGTTTTTTTTTTATAAATCATTTATACACCTATAGTATTGTTGAGCTTTTGGCCTTTTAAGAGTGTATTACAAGTAAATATATATAGCGTGGGAGTTTGAACTTTCATCAAGGTTACAAATTAAGTGTTAGGTATGACATTGTCCGCTTTGGATATAGCCCGCACGGCGTTACGTTTGGTTTCACCCAAAAGATCTCATACCAATTGAGATAATTATCCTCTCTTATATACCCACAATGATCCCCTTCCCTAACCAATGTAGAACTTTGTTTGTAATCACTTTACAGACCCAACATTAAAGTTGACTCTACTATTTAATAAAGTTTAGAGTTTAACTGAATGGATTTGAAAATTTTAAAGTTAAAGTTGTACGTTTACATTTGAGTGTACTTTTTACCTAGCCAACGGGTTACTACTAAAAATCATTGTGTTTGAGATGCAAAAGAAGGAAAAAAAAAGCAATTTTACGGGGGGGAAAAAGTAAACAAAAATATTTATTTATTTATTTATTTTTTTTGAGAAAGCACATATATATAGTGTGTTTTTTAGCATTTTTCATTGTAGTAGTGCTTATAACCAAAACACAAAGCAAACTTCGCAGCTGCTCTCTTATTACTCTGTCTTTTACCCACAAAGAAAAAGGCCAAGATTGTCAATCCACAAGTTAGCAGGCTTTATCTTTCAAATAAAAATTAATTAATTAATGACAAAATCATTATCAATCAACTCAATAATCAATCACGTACAAGTTTCTGGAATATGTCCTAATATTTTTGTACGATATACTTACGATGAATAATTCAATCAAAAAACGAAAAAAGATAGTCTCAATGTCTTTTTCTAAATATATTTAATTTAGGTCATATTGGTCAACATAAAATGGCAAAGGTTGCGAGTATAATAATCTTTCTATTTAAAATAAAAAAAAGGAAAAAAAGTACATAATACCAAAGTGGCACTATATTGCCACTGTTGCTCGTGGATTGCAAATCATTAAAGATAATGAAAAGTGAGAGAAAATCTAAACAAAAATAAGCCTAACATATTACATGTATAATTCAATGGGTCAAAAAATTGGTATTTGAATTGTATTGTCAAAAGGAAAATCTAATGTTTAAATATTATTTTAGTACTTCCAATTTTAATTCATTTTGGTTCATATATTTTTAAAAATGAAAATATCAAAATTCACATCTTTTTAAAAGTACAAACGCGAAAATGAACGTTTTGAAAGGATAATAACTAAAATGAACTAAAATAAATAATGCTGAGACGAAAATAGTATTTAAACTAAAATCCAAATAGAAACTAACTTAAAAGAATTATAAAATATAAATGAATAAATTTTGGTCTAAAGTCTATTATGGCATATGAAATTTCATATTTATTCTATTCCAGCCCCCAAATGTTTAAATATTTTATTGAAAATAACTTTTTTTTTCTTTCATAAAGTTTAGTGGTAAAAAATAACATCTAAATTTTAAATACCGCTGCACTAAAATATCTGAAAATTTAAGAACTAAAATGGAAGCTACTAAATTACAATTTGAATCCAAATTTTTTAAAAAGTCGCAATCAAAAAGTGTATTTTCATGAATTTTACTAACTAATGTTTGAATCACAAATCAAGTTAAATTGCACATGAAGCATGCATACATACATACATATTAAAAGGAAAAATAAAAATAAAAATTTTCATTTGAAGCAAATGCACTTCTCGCATTCGATGTGATCCTATTGTTTAAAAGTTTGAACAATAATACTTGAAAAGAATTATTATTTATGGATATTGTTGGGGTACTTTGGACATTCACATTAATTTGGTGTGTACTATAATCTATAAATAGTTGTAAGGCAAAAAAAAAAAGGTATTATGTTAAATTATTGTATAACGAATAGAACTGTTTTAAGAAATTAAAATAGTTAGAAAATAACACATTTAAAAAATAATAACATTAGAGTGTAGATTTTATCGAGTCCAAAATCATGTATTTTAAACACGATTTTTTTAATTAAGACTTAAACACTATTTTAAACTTGATTAAAAACACATTTAAGAAAGCCATTTTTACACCATATTTGAAGTTCTAAGAATATTTCTTTCTAACAACCTTCATGAATCCTATTTCTCAAACATTTTTTAAATCTCAATCTCATAAAATTCTAAAACAATTTTTTGAAATATCTCTTTTTAAATAACGAACTTCTCAAATATTTTTTTGAAATCATGCACCTAAAAGCTTCACACATTTCTTTAAAAATATAAAACATTTTTAAATTCACAGAAACATTTCAAAATTATTGGACAAACATATATATTTTTTTTCATTTTCAACAGATATGCTAAAATGTACGTGGGTATAATCTCATAATTCTATAATTCTATATAACTAAAAATACCCACATAATTCTATAATTCTATATAACTAAAATATTTTTGAGGATAACCACTAACAAACCTAATAATTATAATAATAATATATAAAACATTTAATAAAACAACCACTAACAAATTTGAGACTAGGTTATACTCTTCTCCAATTTCTGACCTGAATTATCAATCCAACACCAAATTAGTTTAAATTTAATTCCAACACAAATATCACAATATCTTAAAATAAAATATTAGGATTGTTTTCATACTTATATTAAATTTATGCCAACAGAGTAAACATTTCTATTTTGTTGTTAGTCTTCTGTTTCTAAAAATTATACTTGCTTCATCACGATATCAGCTTTAATATATTTTTTAAATTTCCTAAAACATGTTAAAATTATTAGCCAAATATCAAAAAAAAATTAATTTGACTTAGATTTTAGAAATATTTTTTAAAAGTAAACAATAAAATAAAAGAATACATAGATTTAAATAGTAATAGTAAGTGAAAATAGCTATTATAACTTCAATTTAAAAAAATAAAAATTAAACAAAATAGTTATCCAAAACCACATGGCACATCATGTTTTAAGGTATATTACAGGAAAGAAAAAAAAAACCTATTCTATTAGTCAACCGAGTCAGTAAAAATTTGTATATAAAGATATATTTGAAAAATACCATAAAAAATAAAATAATTAAAAAGAAGTCAAGGAATTTATATATACACAACATAAATCAAATTTTCACTCAATGACAATGACCTGAAAAAAAATATTATATTTAAAATAGGTCAACCTAAATCAAAATTAGCATTTCTTTTTTAAAATGAAACATGCGAGATCTTCTGATTTGTTTTATTATTATTATTATTATTATTATTATTATTATTATTATTATAAATTATAGAAAAAGAGGTGTCC